TGCGAATGGCAGAATTTCATTCTTTTTCTGTGGCTGAGTAGTATTCCATTGTGTATATATGCTACATTTTCCTTATCCAGTTATCTGTCAATGGACATTTATGTTGGTTCCAACTCTTGGCTATCGTAAATAGAGCTACAGTAAACATGGGAGTGCAGGTATCCTTTCGACATGATGGTTTCCATTCCTTTGGGTATACACCCAGCAGTGGGATTGTTGGATCGTATGGCTTGGGGTTTCTCGTGCGGTGGCTAGAGCAGGGAGAGCTGGGCTGGAGCACCTGGGTTGGCTGGGCATCAAGCTCTTTATGTAGTCCCAGGGCCTCTCCACGTGGTCTCATTCTGTGGTCTAGCATGGCAGCCTCAGGGATCCAAAGGTACATGTTCCAAGAGAAACTGACAAAGTCTGCAGACTCGAAAGTCACACAGGGTCACTTCTATTGCACTCTGTTCATTAAGGCAGTCACAAAGGCCTGCCCAGGTTCAAGGGAGAGAGCATAGACTGTCTCTTGACTGAAATAGTGTCAAATATTTGTAGACATGTTATGAAACTACTGCAGAAAATCTTTTCCTTCATGCTATGGGGAAAGCTCTCAAAATGTAGCTCCAAGAGAGGGCAGAGAGAGTCCTATTGAAAAGGAAAGCTTGATTAGAATATTAAAGAGAAGAGGAAAGTTCTCTTTACCCTTTATTGATGACTGCTGGGCAAGTGTTAGGAAAATCAGGATAGAAGGATTCTGTTTTACCTGTTGGCATCTCCTAACTACCTTATTAAATGAATCAATTTTGATCATATCTGGTGATTAGAGCTAAGGTGGGAGGGTTGTACTTGTGAAAATAGACTCCCAGACCACAGCCCAGATCTCCTGAAGTATTGGCTGAGCTTCAAATCTATCTGGTAAACAAGGACCCCTGAGTGATTCTGATAGCGGCAAGAGGCACCGTCCTTTATAGAGTGGAATTTACCTTGTTTAAGTCACATACTGCCTGGATGCTACTTGGCTTCCTGAAATTTTAATTTTTATTAAGAATTTGANGTTCATGATCACATCTAATCTTCACAAGAGCACTCTAAGTATTACTGTCCACATTTCTGCTCAAAGGAAACTGACCCCCAGAAAGATGAAATGGCTTAAGTTACACAACTGGTAAATGGTGGCTCTGGGACTTGAGCCCAGGTTTCCTAATGGCCCTTTGGTTATTTCTTCTACTATGGAGGAGTCACTCCACTTGTCCTACAGGGACACTGCCAGGATTAGGTAATATCTATCTGTGGGAGTGTTTATTTAAATTGAAGAAGCACTGAATATATGTGAGGCAAACCATTGTTATGGTGGCTAGGGTGGGCAGGAAGGTGACAACCCTTTCCAGGGAGGCCCGTGAAGGCCGTCATCTGACTCACGCTCATCTCCAGCATTGTATGCCCTTGACCCCAGAGTGGTGCTTCAGAGGGGGCAGCGGGACCGGAATAGGCAGTTCCCTCCAAGGACGAGCATGACCGCCAGTAAACAGAGGGTACAGTGCTTATTGACGATTTCAGTAAATAAATGTGTCGGGCCCCAGCTGCATCACCATGAGGGGTACATTGGTGAATGAAAGAGATTAAAGTCCCTGTTCCCTTAGAATTTACATTCGAATGGGGGAAACAGATAAGCTACAATAGCGACACAAAGTAATGGGGATAGAGATGGATAGATTGGGGCAGAGAGATGCTATTTTTGATAGGATCATAGAGGAGGGTCTCTCTGATGAGGGTGACATTTGGGCAAAGACCAGAGCAAGTGAGCG